TAATTATTATCTTTCTAAGGGCTACGAAATCAGTTGCTTCTACATGCAAGCCGACAAAACAGTCACCTATCCACTCACAGTAGCAACTCAAGTACGTGACTGCAGACTCTTTTAAGCACATCGTACCCGCTGAATACCGTAACTATGTGACCGTATTTCTAGGCGATCGCAGGTATCACTGAGCTTGCTGAAATGCCCAGATGCCGTTATGAGGTTATTGATCCTGACACGAAAGAAGCGGTTGATGTTGTTACTGTTGGTAGTAAACTACTTCATCAATGGATATGCGACAGCACATCACCTGGTGAGTTTGAGTTGTCCCATAAATCGAGCCCTGGGTGAGGGCTCACCTTTGGGACACAGTCGGTGCTGATTTTATGGGCTATCTAACACGGACCACTGCGCTTTTCTCATTGGTGCGCTCTGATCAAGTAACTCCGCCCCTACCTCTCCGCGCTATTGAGCGCGGTGATGTTTATGACCCACAGTGCAGAATAATGCATGGTTCAACGATAAAAATGTCCGTCATCTTAGAATTCTCTTCCCTCCCCTCTACCTCTCCCGCACCAAACCATGGCCCATCCATAACTCTGATGACCGGTTTAATACGTCAGCTTGCATTACCCGCGGTTCTTTTTGTTCAGCTGTCCCTATGCTTTACCCTGAAAGTCTCCCATCCTTACCATATATACCGAAAAGAGACAGCTCTAGAGTCGAATTTTTCCAGTTGAAATGAAACAGATGCATAGCGGCTCTTTTCAGATTCTGGTGCATGACTGTTCATTCGTGCCATGTTGAGGACGGTTCTGGAACGACGTTCACCATTTTGGATGACAAAGGGTAACAGCTAATAATATATGATACTTTAAGGAGGATTTAAGATATCGTAAAGGCAGTGGGCACGATGGTTGGGGGCGGGCGGATCCTTCCACCGTCATTGGTGTAAGGGCTGAGTGAGGTGTGGCTAAACGCCGTCTCGCAGCCCTTTCACCAATGACGTTGGCAATGACCGCCCGCCCCCAGCTATCGTGCCCGCCCTTAATAGATGTAAATTAGTTAAAATGTATGCGACCCGACCACCTTGACCTGAGTGACGCTTATATCCCGATTCCGGTGCAGTACGACCTCTAGGTGAGCGTATCGCTGATCTTAGCTCTGGACAGAATGTGTCAGGACATGAGAATGGCAGGAATTTCTGATTACGCAGCCTAACATGCCCAGCCATACTACTTCTATTTACCGACTTGCTTCCAAGTTCGATCAATATGCATCTTTTACACTGCCGCCATAAGATGGAACTTTACTGCTTCTAGTTTGTCAGTCTTGCTGCGTTTAGAGAGGGGATCCCCATTCTTAGCCTAAAAGAGACTCATCTAGCAAAAGAAAACTTACCCTCGTCATCCGGGCAGTTGATTAGGGCGGTCGTCAACGGGCCGCAGACGCGGCTGCAGCAGCGACCGCGTGCGTAGGAACTATTTGCTTTTTCCAGCCTAATTTAGTCATTTTTCCCTACTTTTCACTGTTTTTGGCTGCTTTTTCCAAGATTAGCAGTTCCTTGTCTTCACAAGGTAAATTATAATTGGAATTTTTATAACATTTGCGAACAATTAAACGATTAAACAAACAATTAGACAAAATGCCTGAAAAAAAATCGCTGGAAAAACACACACCCTATGACGAGAAAATAAAAAAGTTTACGAGTTTAAACTTCATATAGACAACAACGTAAAGAATCTTGAAAAAAAATAGGAAATACAGTGAAAATTAGGGAGGAAATTGCTAAATTAGGGTGGAAACAGCTGATCGCCGCGGTCGTGACGCGCTGCAGCCGCGTCGCGACCCCTGGGTCGGTCCGGCTGATCAACTGCCCCGGATAACGACAAATACAGGACTAGCTGGGATAGTCGACAGAGTACGTAGACGCATACCATCCCTGTCGACCGTAATTTTCTAGATGCTCCATCGACCGATATCTTCTGGACAATCTCGAATATGGCCCCGGTCCGCTACGAGCACAGAAGGAGGCACATGCGTTCAAATTTGCCGATAAGGTAGGCTTTATGAGTAAAAAAAATAAAAGTAACGAGATAACGCCTGGTCGAAAGCTTACTCACTCAAATCGATCATGTAAATCAATAGTTGACCCCTGATTTCTGCAGGTCGTGGTGAACTTCCAATGCAGCGTGCGTCTCGATCTTACGAGGCGATACCTGACGTGTTGCGGTACATATTTATCGTGACGTTAACAATCAATAACCCAATTCTTCGACCCGTCGCTTTTAGATTCCCACATGCTGCAAGCATTCCCATCAGACGGTTGCGACCACGGATCAAGGCCGGGATTCATTCACGACGGTGCAGCGTTTACGCAGTGTTATCAGTGGGAAGCCACGCCCACAAGGCTTGCCCCGCGCGACCCGCAAAGCTGTTCGTGGGAAAAGTTGTAGCCTTAAATTTCTATCTCATTCCACTTGTCCTGAAAGGGATGGGAGTTTCATTCGCTGGCGGCACAGGAGGGGGAAAAACACATACCATAATGGGATTGTCTTAGCACTTGTACCTTCTTGGCGCTGTGCATCGCGCACAGTTTAACCCATAATCCTGTTGGGATAATGGTGATACCCAGACATTATCAAAAAATTTTCAAGACATTATCAAAATTAGCGCTTGTCATTTTCTCGCACATTTCGACAAATCACGGAAGTATTATTGTACCCACGGAGGTCGCGACCCCGTGGGAATCTCCGCCCACAAAGTGAAAAAACTCCGCCCTTTCAGCATCCCGGCTCCTGCGTATGCCAATCGAGCAGCGTTGAGCAGTGGACGTCCGCGCTTCAGCAGATATGATGTGCTTGGGACCCGCCAGCATCTGGTGAAAGGCTCGAAGCTAATCTGATCTGTTCTGCCTCCAGCTCCGAACTCCTCATTTCAGACTTTTGCGTTTTCGGACGCCGACGAAAGACGTATCGCATCGGTCCTGCAACGATTACGAGGCGGTCAAGATTGTATTGCCAAACACCACCTGGTCCTCCCAGCGGCCACTGTTCTTTCCTTGATCGTTTCCCTCATCGGTGTGATCTTTGTCCTGCTCAAGCGATCTTATACCCCAAGAGCATGAGAACTCGTCCTAAGAACTCCTGCCTGCTAGCTCCACCCACTATGGAAAATTGGCTGATTAAGATTCCACACAGCTTTCTCTTATATATACCATTTTCACTTCAAATTCACCTTTTTATAACCAATCATCCTCTCTATATATTAAATATCACCCGTTTTCAAACCAAATTCACCCGTTTTCAAACCAAATTCACCCTTTTCAAACCAAATTCACCCACCTTCCAAATCGAATTCACCCACCTTCCAAATCGAATTCACCACACTTATTAGGCTGCGCAAGTCATCAACCAAATCACGCCGGACACTACTGCGGGCCCCGCCCCCTCGGCCACGCCCACTTGCTTTTTGCGGAATTTTGATATTTTTTCAAAATTTTTGCATTTTTGGACTGCTGCGTGAAGCCCCGCCCACTATGAGAGGCTCCGCCCACTTTGGAGAAGCCTCCGCCCACTTTTCAAAAATGGTGCAATCGGCAGTATAAGGTCTTGGCTTTCATGCTAGGGTCTCGTTCGTCACTCGGAACAAACTTTGCCTGATTTTCTTGTTCCGAGTGACGAACGAGACCCTAGCATGAAAGCCAAGACCCTATACTGCCGACTTGCACCATTTTTGAAAAGTGGGCGGAGCTTCTCCAAAGTGGGCGGAGCCTCTCATACTGGGCGGGGCTTCACGCAGCAGTCCAAAAATGCAAAAATTTTGAAAAAATATCAAAATTCCGCAAAAAGCAAGTGGGCGTGGCCGAGGGGGCGGGGCCCGCAGTAGTGTCTGGCGTGATTTGGTAGATGACTTGCGCAGCCTAAT